TTAAGATAATCATATGGTTTTTGTTTTTAAAAAACTTTTTACTATGAAAAATTTAATACATGTACAATAAATCCAGCTATAGCAATCAACAACCCATGGCCAATCTCATTTGTAGCTCCCACACTTTCTTCCTTCCCCTGGATTAATTTGAGTAAATGCTAGTATCATAGCATTCATCCATGTATATTTCAGTATGTATCTCTAAAAGAACTGTTTTATAAAAGACATAACTGCAGTTTATAATTCACATTTTAAAAATCAATCATAATTCCTTAATATAATCAAACATTAAACATGTTTAAATTTCTCTAATTCTTCTCTCCTCCTCCTCCTCCTTTTTTTCTTACAATTGATTTGTTTACATCAGGATCCAAACAAGTTCTGCTTGTTATATTGGTTGCTGTGTCAGCTGTCTCTTAAGTTTCTTTTAGTCTCTGGATTCCCCCTTCATCTAATTTTTCCCCCTTGACCCCATAATGTTTCCCAAGGTCTGGGTTTGCTGGCTCCATCCTAGTAGTGTCATATAACATGTTCCACTGTCCCCTGCATTTCTTGATGACTGGTTGCTGGATCTTGAGGCTTGGTCTCACTCAGGTTAGATTTGGCTTCAGAGGTATATGTTCTTACTGCAGGAGGCTCATTATGTCTGATCGTCTCTCTGTGACATTAACAGTCATTGATGACCGCTTTCTAGATCCATTATTTTAATAGGGGGTTGCAAAATATCATATTCTAATTATTTCATTCTCTCTTTATTTACTAGCTGGGTTATTTCAAGAAACAGAAATGTTTCCTCCTTAGCTGTTTATGGTTACTCTGAGGAACAATTCATATAGGAAATACAGAATAAATGCTTGACTCTTCCCTTTTACTTACTAGTTTTACAAAAATAAATTGTTTCTCTGTCATCTTCCAAAGAGACTGAGTTTGTTTGGTTTTGTTTCATTGTCTTTATGTTTTTTTGTGGTGGTAAGATTTAGTTTCTTTCTCTTTCTTGTTTGCATTTTTGTTCTACCAGTGGGTTTTGTTCTTTCTTGTGTGTTCATGGTAGTGATTATCAGTTTTCAGATTCCAAATGCAGGATTCCCTTGAAAATTTCTTGCAGGGCTGGCTGTGTGGTGGCAAACTCCTGCAGTTTTCGTTTGTCTGGAAAATACACTATTTCTCCCTCATTTCTGAAGGAGAGCCTTGCTGGGTATAGTATTTTTGGCTGGCAGTTTTTTTCTTTTAGCATTTTGAATATATCATCCCATTTTCTTCTGGCCTGTAGAGATTCTGTTGAGAAGTGTCCTGTTAGTCCAGTAGGGGCTCCCTTACAGGTGACTTGATGCTTTTCTCTTGCTTCTTTTAAGATTCTTACTTTGTCTTTCAGCTTTGCCAGTTTATCTATAATGTGTCGTGCAGAGGATATTTTTGGGTTTAATCTGTTTGGGGATCTTTGAGCTTCCTGGATCTGAAGGTCTGTATCTCTCCCTGTACTTGGGAAGTTTTCTGTTACTATTTCATTGAATAGGTTTTCTCTACCTTTTCCTTTCTGCCCCTCCTTCTGGAACACCTGTGATTTGAATGTTTGTGCACTTAAGGTTGTCTGCTTGCTCTGTTAGATTTTCCTCATTTTTAAAAATTATTTTTTCCTTTTTTTTTGTTCACCTGGGTTATTTCAAAAAGATTATCTTCAAGATCAGAAATTCTTTCTTCTGTTTATTCTAGCCTGCTGTTAAGCTCTTGGTTGTGTTTTTATTTCATTGAGTGAATCTTTCAGTTCATGAGTTCTGCTGCATTCTTTTGTAAGGTATTAATTTCTTTGTAAATTTCCTCCTTCAAATCCTGGATAGTTGTTCTCAGTTTATCGTGTCTTCTAACTGCGTCTTCTTGTATCTCATTGAGGTTCCTTATGATTTTTACACAGAATTCCTTTTCAGTCATTTCAAGGGTTTCCTGCTCTATGGGGTGTGGTTCTTGAGAGTTATTGTATTCTTTCTGTGGACTCATATTTCTTGTTTTTTTTTTTTGTATTTCTAGTATCTCTATGTTGATGTCTGGTCATCTGGTGGAGCAGTTGCTTCTTCTATTACTCTCCTGTGGACTCTGCTGCTGACCTTCTTTGTGTCAGTATAGTCAAGTGGTCGATGGTCCACCTACACAGTGGCAGTGGCTGCTGTGCTTGCTGCCATGATAGAAAGCCACCCTGTTGTGATGGCTTTGGTGGGCTACCCACATGGCAGTAGTGGCTCTGGTGGCAGCAGACTGCTCACATGACAATGATGGCTGCCTGGGTGGTGCCAACGACTGTAGCAGTGGTGGTTGCAGGAGCCGCCTACTTGGTTGTGGTGTTCACAGCAGTGGCTCGTGTAGCTATGGTGTCTATGGTGGCAGTGGGGTTACCTGGTGTTGGTGGCAGTGGCGTTGGTGGCTCCTACTGCCTTCCTGGTGTGGCAATATCCTTGGCAACAGTGGAGTTACCTCATGGGGGTGGCAGAAGTGCAGGTGGCTCCAACTGCCTCCCTTGCATCTGCAGTGCCTGCAGCGACAGCAGGGTTGCCTCATTGGGGCAGCAGCAGTGCCAGCAGCTGCAACTACCTTCCTTGTGTCTGTGGTGTCCTTGATGACAGTGGGGTTACCTCTTGGTGGCTGCAGCCATCTCTCTTACATTTATGGTGTCATTGGTAGCAGCGAGGTGAACTCACAGTGGTGGCAGTGACAGTGGAGGTTGCAGCCACTTCCCTTGCATCTGTGGAGTGTGTGGCTGCGGCCTCCCACAGGATGGCTGCTCTGCAGAGAGCTGCCCTGCAGTGGGTGCTGGGGTTGGACAATTGCTGTGGCAGCTGTGGTGGTGGTGGTTGGCCTGTTGGGTGGAATATACACTGGGCACTTCTAGTCTGCCCTATTTCCAGAAGCCCGACTTTTGTGGATCAAAATGGTCAAACATCAGGGAATTTTTAATCATCCACCCTAATATTTATATTTACATAGTGACATGTTTATATCAGTTGACATACAGAGTAAATTATTGGAAATCTAGAAAATGCTTTTTTATTTCATTTGTATTGTTATTTATGCATATTTATGGGATACAGAATTGATTATCAGTATTTGTGTACAGTACATGATGATCAAATCAATATTATTAGCAAGTTCATCATTACAAATTATAATTACTTTTTGTGTCCCTTGCCCAGTTACTCTCTATCTCCCCTCTCCCTCCCTTTTTCCTACCTCTAGTAACTATAGGTCTGTTCTCTCCTTCTGAAAGTTCAACATTTGATTATGGTCTTTCCTTTTATCTGCTTTTTAAATCCTACTTATGAGTGAGGACATACGGTGTTTCTCTTTCTGTGCCTGGCTTATTTCGCTTAACATATTTTCTCCCAGCTCATCCATGTTGCCGTGAATGGCAGAATTGCATCATTCTTTCTTGTGGATGAGTAGTATGCCATTGTGTATATACACCACATTTTCCTTATCCAGTCATCTGTTCATGGACATTTAGGTTGGTTCCATATCTTGGCCATTGTAAGTAGAGCTGCAATGAACATGGGAGTGCAGGTACCCCTTCAACATGATTTCCATTCCTTTGGGTATATACCCAGAACAGGGATTGTTGGATCATACGGTAGTTCTAGCTGAAGCAGTTTGAGAAACTTCCATACTGTCTTACATTATGGCTGTGCTAATTTACAGTTCCACCAACAGTGTAGAAGAGTTCCCCTTTCTTCTAGTTTTATAGTTTCAGGTCTTATACTCAAGTCTTTAATCCATTTTGAGTTGATTTTGGTCTATGGCAAGAGGGATGGGTCTAGTTTCATTCTTCTAAATGTGGATATCCAGTTTTTCCAGCACCATTTACTGAAAATAGAATGCTTTTTGTTTTAATTGAAATTTATATTGAGATAAAATTGTAGTTTCAGATATGATTGTAAGAAATATTAGAGAGAGAGGCTGGTCGGTTAGCTCAGTTAGTTAGGGCATGGCCTTATAACATGGGTTTGGATCCCCATACTGGCCAGTGACGAAAAGAAGAAAGGAAATATTGCAGAGAGATTCCGTGTACCCTTTAAATTTTGGGTATTTTCCAAAATGTAAAAAAAAAAAAAAAAAAGCTATAGAATAATATGACATTTAGAAATATTTTGAAAAGCTATGGAAAAATTTTGACATTTGAAATATTTTGAAAAGCTATAGAATAATATGACAACCAGGATATTGATATTGATACAATCAATCCACCAATCTTATTCAGATTTCCTCAGTTTTACTTGTATTCATTTATGTGTGTGTGTGTTTAGTTCAACACAATTTCATCGCAGTCGTAGGTTGGTGTATCCTCCACCGCAGTCTAGCCACCCAACAGTTTCAATAACACAGAGATGCCTCCCGTTGTCTTCACAGCTACTCTCCTCCAAACCTCCCACCCCCCACCACTGCCATCCCTAACCCATGGCAATCTGTACTTCATTTCTAAAATTTTGTATTTCAAAAATTATATAAATTATATACAAAAGTTTTTTGTACAAATTATACAAAATTATATAAATGTAACCAAGTAGTATGTAACTTTTGGGGATTGGCTTATTTCACTCACAATAATTCCCTAGAAATCCACTCAAGTTGTTGAATGTATTAATAGCTCATTCCTCTTTATTGCTGATCAGTATTCCACAGTGGTACATCTTCATGTACCACTAGTATTCCATCAATGTACCACAGTTTGTGTAACCATTCACCCAGTGAAGGACATCTGGGTTGTTTCCAGTTTTTGGCTTTACAAATAAAGTTGTTGTGGACACTTATGTGCAAGTTTTTGTATGAATGTAAAGGTTCATTTCTCGGAGACATGTGCAAGAATGCAATTACTGGGTCATATGGTAGTTACATGTTTTATTTTTTAAGAAACTGCCAAATTGTCTTGAACATCTGTTGAAAAGTTGAAGATGTCTAACTTCATAGGATTCTGTGCTCAGTCTAAAAAAGAAATGTTTTTCTCTCGATCCTTTTTGTAGCCACACCATATCCTGGTGGATTTAAGTGTTTCACATGTGAAAAAGCAGCAGACAATTATGAATGTAACCGATGGGCTCCGGACATCTACTGCCCTCGAGGTAAATTCTCAATATTAACATTGTGGTCCTTAGAGCTGTCTAGGAATGAACAGCCCTGGACTTTGATGTATGCTTGCAATCTCAACTGCTTCTCTTGTCTAAGGCTATTAGTAGATCTTTTATGCCACACCAATAACTTATCATCAAAGACTCTCAGAGACATAAGCTGATCTATAAGATTGTCCCTTTTCCTAGGAAGCATCTTTGGAGCTCCACAGAAGGTAAGTGATACTATCCCCACCCCTAACCCCAGCCAAATGAAGAACAAGAAGAGAATAACCAGTTTGTTTGCTACTCTTTGAAGGATTAGTCATTGCACATTAATCTCTTTCATGTGAAGTATGAATCAGTGCTCATATAAAGATTCCATTTATCATGCATCCTGCCAGAGACTTCTATCCTTAGACTGCATGAAAGCTAGAATTCTAAATGTAGTCATTGCACAAATAAAAAAAAAACAGCTTTCTTGATAAGTTCTCTTTGAAGGATGAGATGGACACTCAATTGAAGCATAAAATTTTGACCCAAGGACCATTTCAAAATGAAGACGACCCTTCATCTTCATATACTCATATCTCTTTTATTCTACCAAAATACAAAAAGATGGTTATATTTGGCTATGAGTCATTGTTAATTTGCTGTTTTATTTTTAGAAGAAAGTTAGTTATTTGGTGGTGGGGGGTGTTGAGGATGGGGCATTTTATTGACAAATGTTCGACTGCATAGTTAGATGGGCTTTGCTGCTGATCTCAATCAGTTGTTAAAATGATTGAACACACCAACACCAAATCCGTTATTTTTCAACGTTATGCAAGAGTTCTCATACTCAACCCAGTGAATGATACTCTGTTTCTCATGGAGGATTGGAAATTGGGAGAACATGGAAACCAAAACTTAGAAGACAGATGTCAACTACTAAAGCCAGTACTATTTAACACATGAGTCTCCATCTAGGCTGCCCAGTAGGTATACCTGTGGAACTTTCCCAAATCACTGAAGCATATGCCCTGCCTAGATCAGTGGCTCTCAATCTCCAGTCTCATCATTATTCCCTAAAGAACTTACTAAAACAAATTTCTCCTACCACCCTCATCCCCCACCCAACTTAAGTTTCTGGTTCAATAGGTCCAAGATAGGGTCCGAGAATTTGCATTTCTAAAGAGTTACCAGGTGTTGATGAATTAAGAACCTCTACACAAATTGAACCAGCATTTCTGAGATTAGGATCCTGCACTGGTATTTTTAAATATCCCAGTTGATTCTAATGAACAGTAGGGGTCAAGAACCACTGGGAGCTACTCTATCCATTCATAGAAAGGGAAACGTAGTGTTGTCATTTCTAGATTCCTCTTGTTTACTTTTAGGTAAAGATGTTGATGGGGTCCCAAAAGACCACAGGGAATACAAAAACATGGAAACCCTAAAGATTGGCTCAATCACAAGCTAGATATTCAGCCATCTTGGCAATCAAAGATTAGTCCTTACCCTGTTGCCCTCTACAGTCACTGCTCATTTCCAAGCGGGTCACTTTTTTCTAACATTACCACTGCAGAATGAACATTTGTGTAACTTTCTAATGGACCTGGTTAAATCACTGCTTCTCACGTGGCTGCACATTGAAATCATCTGGTGAATTTTTGAACACTGATAGCTGGGTCTATTCCCAGAGATTTATACTTAAGTGATACAGAGTGTGGCTGGATGTAAGTATTTTTAAAAGTTCTTCAGTTAATTCTAATATGCAGCAAAATTTGAGAAGCATTGTCAGCAGTGACTCTGGACAAAAGCAATGATTTTCTTGTATATCTAGTAACCTTTGGGCTGGTTTTGCTGGGACAAAGCTGGCCAATTAGCTTTTGAAACTGTTGTCACTGGTCTAGAGCTAGTGTATAGGAAAAGAATCTGTCCATTTGTGCTACTGTAACAAAATTCTTCAAACTGGGTAATTATAAACAACAGAAATTTATTTCTCACATGTATGGAGGCCGGGAAGTCGGAGATCAAGGCACCAGCAGTTCTAATGAGAGCCTGGTCTTTCTCCTTCCAAGATGGCACCTTGTTGCTGTGTTCTCTGAAGGGGAGGAACACTGTGTTCTCACACAGTTGAAGGGAAGGAAACGAGCTCACTCTCGCAAACCTTTGGGAGGGCCCTAATCCCGTCCATGGGAGCTCTGCCCCCATCACTTCATCACCTTTTAAACACCCCATCTCTTGATACCGTCACATTGGGATTAAGTTTCAACATATGTATTTTGAGGGGCCATAGCAAGTGTAACTATGTCTCTCTTAGTGTTGACTTAACTCTGAGGCACCTTAGATGCATCGGAAAAGGAGAGAAAGAACCTGGTGTTCTCTGCATGTTTGAGGCGGTGTTTCCTAGAAGCCCCGTCCAAGTCTGACGGTATGCAGGTATCCCTGTTACAAAGAAAAAACAGGTGACCAGAAGCACTCTGTCTGAATGCCTCTCAGGGAAAAGAAGTAGTTCCATCTTAATGCTTTCTTTTGATTTCAAAATCTATTTTTTTTCAAAATACACGTACCTAAAAGCGTCACAAAGTGGTCTTTTTTTAAAAAATTTTTTAATTTTTATTTATTTTTTAATTTTTTAATTTTTTTATTTTGTCAATATACAATGTAGTTGATTATTATGTCCCATCACCGAAACCTCCCTCCCTCCTCCCTCTCCCCCCTCCCACCCAAGCATGTCCTTTCCATTTGCTTGTTGTAGGAACTTCAAAAAAAAAATTGTAGTTGTTATATCTTCCTCTCCCCCCTCCCCGGTTCTTTTTTTGTGTGTGTGTGTGTGTGTGTGTGTGTGTG